AAATAATTCTAGACTTATTTTTTTTCCTAGATGTGCCGTTAGCTTCGCAATAGTCATTTAACTAAATGGATAGAAGCCTGATTAAATTTAATTCTCTTATCCAAAACGCATACGTATTTCCACGCGTTACAAACATTTGATAAATTCAATATGCCCGAAGTGGTGAAGAAGAATTTTCTTTTATTGTCTCTTTCCGGCCGTAACACCGCTGTAAATTGACACTTTACAAACGTGACATGTTTTTGATTTTTTTTCTTTTTGCTTTCATACTTCAATATTGTCTACGTTGAACTGATTGTAATGCCCTTTATAGGTTCGTGACAGTTTCATGGACATGAATGTCAATCTGTTCCATTGCTTAGACATTTTTAGGCATAAATGTCTTTTTGAAAACAGTTTTATATAAAACAATGTTTAATTTTTGAAAAGTTTAAATTGAAATCATTTTTTTCCCCGTTTGGGTAAGGATCACTTCGCTAAATAACTATCAGAATGATTTAAGAGGGAGTCAGCTTTGATTATAACAATTGATTTTGAATCATTTTTTGAATCGATTTAAACGTGTGTCATGTTTACAGTTTATACAACTTTCTTTTTTTATGACGAATCACGAAGGGGACGTCCGTATACGTGTATTACATTGATAGCAGAAAGCAGGGGAAAGAGAGAGAGACAGGGATTTGGTCGCAACTTGGGACATATGTACTTGATTCGTAAGTGTTATGCGTTTATCGACCGAGCTGTGACCACACACCGATCGTAATTAAAATATCGGCCCGTGAGAGTTGAGATTTGGTCGCAGCTTGGGAGCTGTGTACTCGATCGATAAGTGTTATGTCTTTACCGACCAAGGTACGCGCCAATCGAAATTAAAATATTATCGGAACAGAAATTGGGTGTGCTATCTATAAAGTACTACTAAGTATAAATCCAAACCGTAATCTGGAACATGTGAGATATGTATACAATTAGATTTCCGATATATACAAGGTGAATAATCTTTGCTTGATCTTGGAGGCAGCTATCATTGAGCAGGTAGTGCGCGGGGCAGACGATGGTCGGCAGTTTATAAAGAAAAATCTCGCCTGAAGGAATGAAACTATTTTCTTGTTTACTAGACATTGTCAGACCCTACTCATCTTGTGGCATAAGGATATATTAGGGTTGTGCGGATGTAAGCAATGCCCGGAAACATTGCAAATAGACCCGATCGAATCAGAATCACTTTCTCAATAGCTTTGAACATGTCTGTTCGTTCGTCCATTCTCTTTTTCGAAATTTACAGGCCGCAATTTTTAAGATATTTCGATGAACAGACTGGTACACTGACGCGTTTTCGATTAGGGGCAAGAGCTATTGACAATGGTTCGAATCGGACCACTTTTTTGGTCACTTCCGATAAAAGGCCTTATTTTGAAAGATCGTTATTTGAATAACTATACTTAAGGACAGTGGTGTAGGGTATTTAATGATGTTTGCCAAAGCTTTTGCTTGTATTTGTTCTGTTATATATTAGTATATATTCTGCCCGCGTCAAGGAATCATATTCTGCCTGTATTTCTACCAGCTTTAGGTTTGACCCCTGCCTACCTCGCATGTTTTACGGCAAAGCGTTGACAACTATTTTGGGATTAATAAAAGACCAATGCTTTTTAATTACAAAAATACCACTTAAACATAATAAACTTTTTAATTGATTTAAGTAATTACACCTAATCTTGTTTATATATTAATTTTTAAAAAATGCCATCGACCTCGTATACGATGAAGCAAAGAAAAGAAAAGAAATAGACTGAGATTATCTTAAACTTTAACTTGGCAGAAGAACGGCATAAATTAACTTTGCTTAAGTTTGCATTTTAAAATTTTTAACAAACTTTTTTAAGAAACTGACAATGAATAATGTAAGCTAAGCTAACGCATCTGCCTGGAAAAATTCATTTTTTAATAACATCTTCGAAAGAAAAATTTTGTATTTTATCCTGATTTTTGCTATTTGAACAGAGATGCAAAAAAAAATTTGTAGAAAGAATATAAGTTAAATTCTTTCTTAAGAGTGATGTAAGTGCGTTCTCTGAAAAGACATTATGTGTAATAATGTTATACAAGTCCATTTATGATGTCATCAAACTTGTCAATTTCTTTGAAGTAATATTCCCCGATCCTCTAAATTACAGACTTTAAATCAATTTAATATTTAAGCGAGTAAAAACATTATAGCGGGGCACGGCCCAGCATTAAATACTTGCCACCACTCTACACTTATTTATATAACGACTTTTCAAAGCAAGACTTTATATGGAAGGTGGTTGAAAAAGTGGTCCCATTCAACAGTATTTCTTCTTGGATCCAAATAGGTCAATGTAGCAAATTTCATCAAAATATCTCAAAAATTACAAGCTGTATGTTTGAGAAAGCAGGACGGACAGACGGACAGACAAGCTTATATCGATATCGACAATAATGCGAAATCTCTCTCTGTATTGAAAATAAAAAGAAAAAAAGGCAGACAGGCGGACAGATGGACAGACAAGTTGTAATATCGTTCGTCCTTGGACCCAAAACCTGTTTCATCAAAATATCTGGTTCAACGCGGGAAAACGAAGCGGACATACCGAGAGACAAGCTTATATCGAATCCAAAAATGATCCTAAACCTCGCTCTGTATTGAAAACAATAAGAAAACAAAATAGACAGACGGACAAATAAGCTCATTCAACACAAGTTTATGAACCATTTTATAAATCGAACGGTATATCTCAAGTCTTTCTCACACAATCTTAACATATCTTTGTACCACTAGTTGTATGGGGTATAAAAATACAACATCAGCGTACTTTATACACATCAATCAATATTTTTCAATTCCTTAAATATCAGGATATAATATGAAAGAAGACTTGCATCACTTTAGAAAAAATGTATCAAAAACTTCGAAAAACAATGCTCTTCATGTTTTGACGCAAAATAATCAGTTCTCATATAAGCTTGTGATTTGACATTCCATTTCCTTCAGATATCAGAACAAATTGTAGTCACTGAAGATAAAGACGCCCGAATATGATAGCGCTTTATATAGCTGGTTTGCTTCATAAGTTGAATAACTATGTTATAAAATTTGGCGCTTATAACCCTTCTTGGTCTTCCTGGTTATTCTGGGTACTATTCCATCCTTGTTCCAGAGTATAAAAGTCATAAGTATTATACTCATCATTTTGTCAAAACGTTTATAAAGCCCGGAAGCGTTAGAAACTGAGCAAAGTATATATATTCGTGCTCTATTTCGACATGCCCGTCTGTCCATCTGTGTAATATGTCTGTTGTATACATTCTATTGGTCGCAAAAATGAAGCTCTCTCTCCCTCTCTCTTTCCCTCTCTTTCACTCTTATTTATAGAAAAGTTTGAAAATTACCGCGATTTTATTACAACACTTTTTTTTACAAATTTTCAGTTCTAGCAGTAATACCAAAAAAAAGTTCTCTCGATTCTAGTTTTGACTTTATTAGTGCCTTGGTCTGCTAAGGGCCATACCCAAATTTTATGATTACTTTTTTCTTTATCTCGTCAACTTGAATAAACCATTTCGTCATTCAGTATTTATTTTTTTGTTCAATTCGTAGGATACAATTTTCATTAGGTTGATGGCTTGTTGATGGCTCAGTTCGTAATAACTGTACCCGCTATTTATCAGGTGGCGGCGCAATTTAATTCAAAATTTTTACATTTTATACTCATGGATTGAATTTTTACTGTATATTAATTTTAAAATTTTTTGTAATAAGAGTGAATTGTTTTCGTTTTATAGATATGTAATATGGATTTCATTATGACTTTTTTTGCACGATTTTTTAAGAAAATATTTAGAGTTCTTTCATCTTACACGGTTTTTCAAGTTGTACAGCAAATCCCCAAATTTATCATATCTCATGCGCATTTTTTAGCAAAATTGTTTTTCGCCCCGGCTTCGAAGGAGCTTATCGACCGCGCAAAAAGAAATAAAGTTAATTGTTACTTAAAAAGTGCTGCCATATCGTGATTTTAAATCCATGTGATATATTGAATGTACAATGAGTAGGCGAATAAATAAGAATCGCGAGTACAAAATCATTGTTCGCGGATTCAATCTCAAGTGCTTTAGAGTTTTGTTCGGTCCTAGCTAGAGCAAGTGCTTAATTGGTAAAGGCGCAATATTTACCGACTGGACACACAGTCATTCCCCGGCGACGGGGTTACTTTCATTAGAGAGTCTTCGGGAATATCCTGGGTCGTCTGCATGCAGACCTCGTCACCAATGAAATCAGCTACTCGGGAAGTCCAATATATAATCAATTGATTCTCGAAAACCTAACGATAGTTCAGGGTGTTGGGGGGCCTGGCGTAGCTGTCAATAGATTTACGGAAGTCGTCTCATTAAGGCTTCATACCAGTTGCAGACGTTAAACATCTATATAATCTGAACCTACACCCACTAGGTTATGGCCACTATCTACTTATCGTTTTCTCTATCCTGATCTTCTTCGGGTCGTCGCCGCATTACTCGAATAGGAGACATCCTCCGTGTTATTCGAAAATTCGTCTTAGCGCAAGTGTAATCTCTTTCATGTTTTTGTTTTTTTCTTTTTTTTTTCTTTTTGTACATTCATCCATCCATTCAATAAATCGGTGGATAAACGTTTTTTTTCCTTTTGTGAATTTTGTCTCTTTGCACATTGAAATAAGTAGCACATAATAGTTTGAAGGCTTTTCCTATCCCCTCGCTTAGAAAAGTTGATTTCTCTATAATTTTCCTTTTTCAAGGAGAATGTTACAAGTTTAACAAAAGTTCAATAAAAGGTCACACGTTGCTGCGATGGTGATGGCATTGTAAACATGTGCTGTTCATAAAATTTTATCTCTTTGATAAAAAAAAAAAAGAACCAAAAAAGAAAGATTACTTATTTTTTATTGGTAAAATAATGTTAATTGAAAATTTTTTATTAAAAAAATTTTTCTTTTCAGGACAAAATGTTACTAGAAAATGTGCGGATAAGCAATTTCAATGCGGTAATGGTGCTTGCATACCAATACGTTACTTATGTGATGGGGATTCAGATTGTCCCGATCACAGTGATGAAATGATTGAAACGTGTAAATTTAGAGGTAAGTTATTCATAATATATTATAATGAAAAAATGAACTAAGGGATCTTAAAAGTCTGTCCCGACGTGAAGATTCCTTTCAGTAATAATTATAATAGAAAAACAACCAAGAAAATTATATTCGGCCGTGAGGGGCACTCTTAGACCCGTCACCGTTACCCTAAAAAAAAAAATAAAAAAATGGAAATTTCCAAACGTAGGCGTGGCTGACCTTTTTCTTTTTTGTGTAAAGCAAATTTGTCTGTTGCAGTTTATGAGGAAAGAACACAGAAAGCCGCGATGTACTTGATCGGTAACACTATAATACAAGGGCGAGACCTTTCACAGATATGACGCATCTAAAATATCTACAAAATCGCCAAATTTGTAGTAAATGTCTCTATTTTTATTATCATGAGTACATTTGCCAAAGCAATTAACAGAGAGATGAGCAGGTAGAACAATCAATAACATGTAGATTTTATATGGTCTCCAAACTTTCAGTTTGGGCGCTGCAACTTTTTTTATAAAAGAATGAAATTTCAATTCTATAGCATTGAGCTGGTTTCTTCCATTTATATACAAGCGCTGCAGAATAACATTTTTTTTATATTTGAAAAGAGGGAGTAGAGAGAGAGAAAATTCCAGGTTATGGAAATGGTATTGGGTATTATATTGTGGGATTATCGATCTATTGACAAGGTCCAATCTCAATAGCAACTTGCGTGTAAGAATTTTCAGTGTGTTTGACCATTTTGAAGGTGATTTTCAGTTCATTTTTGCGAGAAGGACAAGGCTTACCACAAATTTTATACGGACGGAAGGACAGACGAAGATACTTAAATCGGTTTAGAATTCGATGTTGATCAAGAATAAGTATATATACAAAGTATATATACTTTTTTGGAGCCTTCTTCTGAGTGTTGTAAACATTTTGACCCCACATCCTTCGATGATGGGTATAATAATACTATGCAAAAAGTATTTTTTAATAACTGTTGTGGTTTCAATATAGGCTCTATTAGTAGTAGTAGTATATATTAACAGATGTTTCATGGTTCATTTCGTATTTTTATACTCTTTGTACTTCTTTCCTACGGCTATGTGAAATATTTGGACGGACTTGAGATAAACTGTCGTTTTATTACATCGATCGCAATCATTCGATCACTGATTTATTTCAGGCTTGTCTGTCCGTTTGTCCCTTTTATTTTCATTTACTTAGCCTACAGACGGCAAATTTTTGATGTATTTTCATGAAATTCGGCCGGCCAACATGTTACAGTGTAAGGTCGAACTCTATTGAAAATGATTCGGGCCGGATCAATTTTGTCGTTCACTCCTCATGGAAGTGGTGTAGGCTATTTAAATTTTAAAATAGACGACAATCATGGGTAGACGCTTGTCAGAAACCCTGCGCTCATCAAGAACGATTTTTTCACGAGTCGTTTACGCGTATTTACAATTGGCATAAGACCTTGCTTAGGCACTGTACTCTCATCCCTTAATGCGGTTATCTTGTCGGTTCACCATGCTTATGTACTTAACTATTCTTTTATAAAAAAAGTAATAAAAAAGTTTGAAAATTACAAAAACAAACAAAATTGTTTCACGTATAAGTACAAATATACATGTATACGTAGCGTTAGCTGTTAAAGATACGTATATATGAGTAGTTATAAGCAGATGGAATGAATGAACGAATGAATGGATGAATATTGGTTCATTTATTTAATTTTTGTTTTTTTTTTTAAGAGCTTATTGATTCAAGTGGCTTTACGCTATGCAGCCATATGCAGAAAAACACAAAAAGTCGGATGACGAAAAAAAAACGAAAGGTTTTTTAACATTTCCACGTATCTTCAATCTTTTCTTTATCATCAGCATCAACTCGATAGCGTCTCTTCTCGTCTCTGTTTATGTAGATTTAATTCCATCACAACATACATACGCGGAGAAGTGCACTGGAATTTTGCCAATAATTCTCGTTTTTGTTGTTGTCACCATCGTGCATAAGTTATGTTATGCATACCTCAAAAGTACTTTCACTTGCCCGAGGGTCTGTTGCTTTCCTTGTCGTTGTTGCTTTTGTTACATGCTTTCGCTTTTTTTTGCTTATCGACCGCAGAAGATATACACAATTTGCCAAGTATCGTGCGACGCAGACAAGGGCGCATCGAAAAGATTATAAGCCAAAGATGTTGTTAATAAACCTGAGTAATGAAAAAGTTGTAGCTCTCCATCTATGGTGTTTTTTTTAAAAGAACAAAAATGATTGAAGAATTTCTTTTTTTGTTTCTAATGCACCCTCCATCCCTAGGAAACGCTGACAACAACAATCAAAGCGAGGGGAGGAAAATGTCTTTTTTAATTCGAAATGTAATGCTAAGTGCTTACAAGTGCCTACAAGTGCTGAACGTGTTACAGCCCCTACAGTTCTTAGGTGAACCATAAACACCAACGGTGAATGTTTGTGGCGGTCCCAGTCGGTTGGAATAGAGTGTGAGGGTCACCTGGGCGTTGTTCTAACTAAGCGATGTCATCGCTAAGAAGATATTTCTGCATCAGTTCCTCGAGACCATTTCGTTAAAAATTTAAGTCACATCTTCCTATAACCAACGTATTTAACTTAGTTAGCCTCGTGTGACCTCGGACTATTTCCTAAATTTGAAATACCATGTTTTGGCTCGCCTGAAGAGATGCAAGCTAAATCGCATAAAGCTTTGCATGCCATTCTCGAAATCGAGCATAACAACTTCTTCGAGGATTGCGACAACCGTTGGCATGAGGATAATAGATTTGGAGTGATAAGTAGAAAAAATAGATAAAATTAAATTGGTTATGCTTTTTGATCACAATAGTATGCATATATATGTATGGAGATGAACAGAAAATCAGGTGTATGTTGTTTTATGCTCCGTCTTGGAGAACGGGGGGTGGGGGGCTTTTTTCCACTTTCCTTTTATTTTATATTCATAGAACGGGAACATTTTCGCATTTGAAAACGATTTTAGATTTATGTCAAGTATGAATAAGAATTTAGAAGTGATCCAGTTCAAAAACATCGCATATTTTCTGGCGCATAGTAAAATAGGTGTATATACAATTATGTAATATTGATTATCTCAGATCCCTACTGAGAATCTGAATAAGTGAATGTTTTCCCAAAATTTTTACTTATTGCTGCAGGCAACTTTTCCTCCCGATCGAAGTAAATTTCTTCCTGGATCCATTCCTTCCAAGGTATTTTTCTTTACTATTTTCACCCCTTGGTCGGCATCAATTTGTATGAGTTAAAGTGAAGTCTTTCCTTTCTTCAAATTAAAGCAAAGGAACTTTCCGGTCTATTATTTCTGGTATATTATCATTTGATAATCATTCCATAGCAATGGCTTATTTCTTTTTGCATGCGGTAACATTCCAGTTTCCAACAAGTTTTTATATACAAATCCACCCAACAGTCAGTGTTTTCTCACATTATTTCCAAGCAAAATCGGTTTTTATGAGCTAAAGCACAGCGGTTCCCTTTTTCCAAGTCAGCTGCTCTTCGCAAGGGAACCTTCCGAGCTAATTTTTCCGGTAGATTGGCACCAGTTAGGGTTGATGCGGTGTTGCCAGTTCCAATTTCATTGTAAATTGTCCTAGACCTTGTTAAAATGATCATGCGATTATCGAACGCAGGTGAAGCTACACTTTCTTTGGTGGTATAAAACACTCGTGACAAAGTTTTGTGACCGACCTAGAAATGCGACAGAAAATTTATAAGTTTTTCCCCAATTTCGAAGCTGACGACATGGGCGTTACAATAATTTACTCCAGCCATTCATATTGCGCTTCTCTCTCAAAGAATGCGATTTATGATAGAAAAATATTATACAAATCACTTTGCTTTTCCCAACTGTCTCTCACTAACCAGCTGAGAAAGCTACTAAAGCAACCTAAAAGCCCTCAACTTTTTACTATAAGAATTGGCTCAGGTGGGTTTTCGGGAATTCATTTGCAACAATTTGGCCACATGTTTTGTGAGCTTTTTGGAAGCTACCTTTTTTAATTTCTGCGGCATCGAATTAAAAATTGCACCTCGCATCTATTTGTCTATCCCCCTCAGTATATGTATTCATGTCTGAAAGTAAGCTTTCAAATAAAAATGATTTCCGTTAACAGTGTTACAATATCGCGTAAAGGTTTTCCGTGCTTTGGCATTATTAGGAGAAAGTTCAAAAACAATATATACCACCAGGCTAGACTGTCTATGCCAGCGCTGACTGTTTATAACTTTTATTTATTCCATGCGTTTGCTGCTCGTGTTCTAATTTACAATTTTCTTCTTTTTTTTTTCTAATAAAGGAATAATTTTCACATGGAAGAAATTTGCGTTGCAGTGACTTACTTAGTTTTGTTTCTATTGTTACATCAACTTAATCATAACAGATTATTTTCTGCTTGTTATACTCATCACTTGAGGATGACGGGTATATTCATTTTGTCGAAACGTTTGCAACGCCTAGAAGGGAGCATCGGAGCCCCACAAATCATCAATCTAGATCATCATCAAATTCTAAATCGATTTAAGTAAGTCCTTCTGCGTAAAGTCTGTTGTTAACGTTCTCCTGGCCGTAAAAATGATTAGCATGATATTTTTGTTCTTTTACCTCTTTTGTCTTTTTTTGAGTTAAACGGTGATGGGTCTAAAAGATTCGTTTCCGATGGAGTTTGGTTTTCTTACTTGATTTTTTTCAAGGTTAAATGTTCTACTAGAAGAATAAGTGGATTTAGTTACTATCCCTATGGTAACATTAAAGTCAAATAACATTCTAGTCTTTGTGTATTTTGGATTGTACATATATAGAGTACATATTCATATATATATATATATATAGCAATATGTATTTATATACATATACACACACACACACATGTATATATACATATATACATATATATAGATACATGTATACATACATATATGTATATACATACATGTATATGTTTATATTTGTATATACGTTTATGTATATATTT